GTCGTCGTCTTGTTGTACACTTTGCCTTCCAATGTCCCGTCCCTCCACAAGCGTAACATTTATCGTTTCTTTTATGATTTACTCGTAATGCTGCGATCTCACTCTCCAGCTGCTCAATCTTCTCGACACTACTTATCTCTTGCTTTTCGTACCCAATCGGAGCTACTGTTCGTGTCATCAGCTGACGAGTCACCTTCGCCAGTTCACTGACATCGATAGGTTGCGCTGCGTTTACTAACTTCAGCTGCTGAGAAACGGTGACAGGGACACTCTCTCGGACTCCCCAACCAGATTTGGCAGCGCACGGCGTAACAATCTGGTGAGCTCCACAGCCAGCATTAGTGGGTCACCATCGGGCGACAACCACGCCAATCGGAACTTCTGCTGTGACCCCTCCCTGTCCACTGGGCTGTCGAACTCTGTCAGCACCGTCCAAGCTGTCATATTCAGCCTTCACCCTGCTTCTCAGCAACGTCCCCAGGGACACCGATTCCGCCTATGGGCTCTTTCACGTCCAACAGCTCCGCCACGGCCTCAAACTCCTTCAGGAAGCTCAGTACATCTCCGTCCTCAAATTCCTTCGGCTATGGGATCTTCATCGTTAGTGGAGGCAGCGACACCAAATGTAGTGAAGCAGAACACTGGTGAGGACAACCGGATTGTACGTAACTCAAATTACAGAGTTAATTGGTAAAATAGAAAAACCATATATTAAATCGTTAATTTGCAAAATATCAATCCTTCATATCAAACTGGACTGTTCCTGTTGCAAATATCAATCCACTTACTGACATTTCATTGTTCATGAGTTTTCATACAAATTCCATTGTGTTACCGTTCTTCCTTTCTTCATCTTCCCTCATCTTCTGCTGCCAGACATTACGTTTTTAACTCGCGTCATATACTACTTATTATATCAATATAAGTAGCGCGCACCACAACTGTAGTAAACAAGAACTCAGGTGTGCTAAACTAGTTTGTTATTTTATCCAAAATCAAACAGCAGTTTTGTAAAATATGAAAATCATATATTGAATACATTATTTGTATGTTTCCTTCCATATATCCTTTACATACTTCATCATTTTTCTTATCCTGTTGTTTTTCGTATTGCTAATCTTTTTATTTCACTCTTCTTCTGGTGAGCATTGTACTTCCTAATTCCCGCTACATACTACTTGTGTCTGTCCTCATAAATAGTGCACCCCACATTACTGCCGCCACTATTCTGCCATTTGGCCTGATATCATCTGTCTGTGTTGACGGAGTATGGCAACTTGAACTGATATACATGTGTACCAGGTTTTACCTTGTGAGCGACTGACTCCGGTCTAGAGGTTATGAACCACTTTTAGGTCACTAGAATTAATTTTTGTAGTTACTGTTTCCTTTCAAAATGCTTGATCTGCCAGACTTTAAGGAACTGGAGTTAGGATTTTTCCCTTCAATAAAACGGTTGAGAACGAAATTTGTAATTCGGCGGGAATTATGTTTTGTACGATCACTTAGGTTATTGACGCGTTTGCGGTATGTTTCTAATTGGATTGTACATTTGTGAATACCTTGTATGAAAGTTCTTGAGGTGAGTTGTGCAGTTCGATTAGTTTCTTATTAATATTCTAGTGGCTTAATATAAAGAGATATAGAAATAATATTACATTCTGCGATTTAATCAATTTTTGCGCTTGGATAAGTTTATTCGGTTAGTAACGAGTTTGCAAGTATCATCACCAACGTCTAACTTGATTCCTAATAGATTTAGGATAGATAGATTGTAAAAAACATAGACATATTTATCAAATCCCAATGAGTGGAAAATTAAATTTTTCATGACAATATAATCGACTTTAGATAATAAAAATAAACATAGCACAATAAGAGAGCTACAAATAATCCTTAAAACTTACCGAATTAAAGCATTTTATGAAATAATTAACAATTCGAGGTACTTCAGTGCAAATAGAACATAAAATCCCCATCACTTCGACACAGAAATTTGTATACAGATTAGGATATTTAGATTATGCTCCATTCTATATTAGAAAATCCTTTTGTGAAATCATGAATCGTATCAAAGAACATCCGAGCTACCTAAACAGACCTCCAAATAATCTTGTAGAACTAGGAAATCCACAAATTAAATCAGCAATACAAGCACATGCTATTTTTAACAGCCATCAGATTGATATGACATTAATTCAGGAAGATCTTCCCAATTTTCATAATAAGCAATTGATGGAAGATTTTTATGTATGTCGTTACCCCTCTGGCTCAATAGAAAGCCAAACTTATCGATCTATACAGCATTCATCATTTATTGGAATATTTACACATTCTATCCTTTTCACATCTCACACCACTAACAAATATTATTTGTGTAAAATTGTATTTGAAGTAGTCTCAGCTACCGAAGTTTAAATAATCCCAACGTTTCTTCAGTAAAATCTTAACAGGTGTGTGTTATTTCATAATATCGAATTTAAAACACATAGGGGATCCGGCGTAGATGAGAATCTTCCTCCTTTAATATTGGGTTGGGTGTATTTGGGAACGGATTATTCTTTTCACTTGGAAGATTTTTAGTCATCCTAAAGTAGTGGATAGTAAATTTTGTTTAGATTTCGTAGCTGTATCACAAATCAACATATGGTTGATGCAGTTCATTCAGCGGATCTAGATGTGATTGAGTACAGTTGTAGATCTTAGTGTTGTGTGGTGGGTTTTAGTTAGCCTTAATCCTTTCGTATATATAAGCAGATTATCATGCAGCACCTCCATATTTAGCTTGTCTTGTTTCGATTTTAGTCTAAGAATTATTTATGGCTTAAAGACAAGTTATAATATGGTATCAATCTAGGCGTCATGACTTACGAGTTATGTTGATACTAAGACGTACGACAAATTCCTACTAACTGTATCTTCTATGAATTCAGACCATATCATTACAATTTTTCGAGTTTGTTAAAGCTATATCTTGATGTAGATCAAAGTAGAAGGAAATTTAGTTGTATAGACCATCAAATACTAACCTTTCATGAAATCACATGAATCTAATTTTATTCTTTTTATGAGAAACAAGTGAACTATTTTCAGATCAATCTTTAAAGCTTAGTCACTTTCTAAATTCTTTTCACTAAGTTACAACGGTAGTGTTTACGTCGATAAATCCTTGTAAGTTTATTTACTGTCACTTTTAGTATAAATTTAGGTTTCAGTTTAAATATAATGTTCAGTACATTTTTCACAATCTCACGTATCAATACTAATTACTAATGTCTTACCTTTGAACAAAATTTTCTATAACGTTAACATTGAATACTTTATATACCCACAAATGATGTTGCTTCTATATATAAAAGGACTTCATGGCTTTAGTAAACTGGTCTCTTTATAGTTTAATTATTGGAGACCATCATATTTATGCTGATTTTCTGTTTAGGGTTGTGAACTGATCAATATTCGGTTTATGATAGTAGGAAGTCAACAATCTCCACAACCTTATACAGATAATTGTCATGTGCTCACTGGTAACTAGCTTCGAGAGGTGATTCTCGGAGCTCTAGTCCGAAGCCGTGACCAGTGGAGTTCTACCGTGTCAGATGTGAGGCAGTTGTTTACCGGAGATAATGAAATATGGTTGAACAATATCGTGGATTGGTTGAAGTTACACATTAATACCGTTGGATGACGGCTTAGTGGTCTAATGGCTAAGCGTTCGTGCGAGGCCGAAAGTCTTGTGTTTAAGTCCCCCATGCGAGATCGTGGACGCTCACTGCTGAGGAGTCCCATATCAGGATGAAACGGCCGTCCAACTATTCCAGATCTTCATTTATCAGTTTATGATTTTAATAAAAAGACTACTGATGTTACATATGAAATCATTTTATTTGAAATAACTGGCGATATAAAAACATCTTTATTATTCTGAGTTGTGGTTGTTTTCATTTGGGTTTCTTATTTTCTGTACCTACAGAACTCAGTTTTGATGTAATTGTTAGTATTATAGATCATCCAAACTTGGCTAACTATGTTTGAAGAGCTTCATAGACTTAGATACTACTTGAGGTGGGTCCCAAACCTAAAATTGTTTCTATAAAAACACTAATAGGCATCATTTATATTTGAAACTAACATCCTATAATCTAACCATAAATAATCCGTCTATCATTCTGTCGTCTAAAAGCGGTTAAGTCAAGTCACAGAATCCATGTATGAATATACCATCGGTTTATTCTAGCCACGTCATGTAACAAAGACTTTCTAAATAAGATCCATAAGATATATTTATGGGCCAGAAATCGAGCATGGTCACAAAGTCACACTTTATCTTCCCCTTAATCTGAGATATCTTACTATCCTATTTACCTGTTTCTTAATGTATTCCTTCTTATTAATCTTAACTTTTTTCCGTTTTGTATCGATGCACTGTATTTATTTTTGAAAAAAATCACGTTTGATCTTCGTGTCTTGTTATTCTAATTACTTTCCACTCATTTCTTCTGTACCGTGATTGGCATCGTTAGCATAGCCGTCTAATTCTAGTACTAATATATTTTCAGTTCTTTCTAAAAAGTATTAAGAGAAAAAGTGTCTGTATTGATCTCTCGGTAAATTCGAAGATATTTCAATGAATTATTCGGTTATTTTTTAGCGTTTATTCCGTACTACTAAAATTATTTTTACCACACATAGGAGAATGATAAAAATTATTCTTATGTTTGTTTTATTGGGCAAAAGAAGACCATAACTTCAGTTACTTAAGATAACAAAAGCATAGATAAACATATTCTTAATTATTTTGTTAGGAAAACCATATTATTTATCACTTTGGTATTGATCATTGATTAACTGAAATGTGATGTTATCCGTGTTTTGATCGACACAAAAAATGTACAGAAGAAGATGATTACTTCAATATTATGGGATTAATTTCCTAATAAGAGGTGAATTCACACAAATTCTACAGTGTTATTTGTTTTTTTTAAACAGTCAACATTGTTTTACTTGTCCAGGATATTGAAAAAGTAGTTAACCTACAAGAAATTCAGAAAATAATATAGAATTTAATCTGATAAAATCAAAGATTTACAAAAATGTAATTGTATATTTATGTATCCAGATCAGATACTATTGACATTATTTGATCATGACATATGGATCATTTGACCTGAAAACATTAAAATCAATTTTCGATTGTAATTTTGAATTATCTGCTAATTTTATTCAATGTTTTCTTGCGTTTTATGTATTGGTAAAAGGTGGATTGAGACATACTTGATCATTCTTAAAAACTATCCGTTGCGATAGGCCCTATATATATATATATATATATATACTACTAATTCGGTATTTTACATGATCTAAAACAGTCAAATAGTTGTTGATTATTTCTCAATGAAAAGCATCAGAATAATCTAATCTTTTGAAGCTTATTTAATAATAAAGGATTTTTAAATAGTTTTTATCACTATCCAAATGCGTTTGCAGTTATAATTATTATGATTAGTTATTTGTACTCCATCAGTTTGTTTTTTTCTTCCACCTCAGTTTATCAAACATTTTCAGTTTAAACTTAGTTTAATTTATGAATGAAATCGAATAATTCTAACTGGTATTTATTGTTGGGGTCGTTAGATTATATGGCTTAAAATCGAATTTAGTTGCATTCATTCTTGATCGAAGTCTTAAGTTTTACTGGCGCTTCATACTTTCTTGATTTTATTTTTTCTTTCGAACCAGATTTTTTACGTTTCAGTTGATATTACTTCCCTTCCTTTGACATATCTGACGTAAGGTGTTGGATCTGTAACCGATGCACAGTTGTGCCAGGTGCTAGTTTGTCAGCGACTGACTGAGTCAACTAACATGAAAATAAATAAGAGTTTAGTATATTTTTTCACGAGAGTTTCATCAGAAATTTCACGTCCTACACAGATAAATCTTTTGTATTATTATTGATAGTATCACTACCATAAAATATTGAAGGAATATTCGATAGTCACAATAATTAAATATCAGTATGTATGAGACATGAAATAAAATAACGTAATTACTTCACGTTCAGTATCCTCAGGTAAATCAGTGCAATGAATAGCATTCTTGACTTTATTAACTCCGAATCTAGCTCTTAGTGTATCCGGTCGTAAGTACTTGGCGATTTCCTGTTGAAAAAGAAAAACACATTAACTGCAACAAATAAAATTTCCAAACTGATTTCTCCTGGATAATTGTGATAGAATACTGAGAACTTAGTTTACATTCTTGTTGGAACTTATCATTAATACGTATCTGTAGATTTTTAGGAACTGGCGGTATCCCGGAAGTTCATGTCAAGTAATTGACATAATGAACGTTTATACAATCTAAATACTAATAAGTTTGTAAGCGTTTGAGTAGATTTGACAGTTCATATTCATAACTAATCACTGAAAACAAATCAAAAACAGTTGAAATATTAATGGTCCATAAGTTCAATCAGGTTCTCATTGAGAAATGAAACTTGTTTGTTTCATCACTCTATATTCTAAATTCATAATCATAGGGTTGGTTTAGAAATCAACAGAGTGAGTTATCTTGAAGTCAACTATTCGTATCGCTGCCTCCAATCTCATAGATTGCTTTATCTGACTTTACTTTCTAGAAGATTCACTTACAACTCTAGGCATCTGTGATTTGCGATGTCTTATTTCCTATCTCATGTTGACTCATTCTTCACTAAATATTTAGCGCATTATAACAAACTTCAAGTGATTAAAACATTGAGACATGCCTTTGACATAAAAACTGTTAGTGAGAAAATGTATTTAGAACTTTAATGACTTGCAATGTCAGGAAACCGGTGATAATGTTATTAATTAATGGTTTCTGTCATTAGGGTTTAAGTCATTTACTTTGAGGCTGAAGATAGATCTTGACCATCATTTTTGGTAAGCACGAAAGTACCTTTCTTTGTAAAAACACATGTAAGTTATAGAGTGACATTTTATCTGAAGCAAATTGAAAGACACAGAGCTGAAAAGATAACTGAATTGGGTCATGTACTGTAGATTCCACCACATATAGTTGATATCAAAAAGTACAGAAGTGATAAATGGCTTTATTAATCAACAGTGGGAAAATTCCACTAAATGATATTCGCAAAAGAAAACTCACTGGGTCTATTGGTCCAGCGAACTCCCGGAAAGCTTGATGGACATTTACATTGGGGTCTGGAATATCTATTTCTAATGCTATACAGGGTCCTGAAGACAGCTGATCCAACATCTCTGGATATTCTTGTACTACACCTTTATAAATCTCTAAGAAATCAGCTGCATCTGCTTTCGATAAACGATGCAAACTAGCTGCAGTCACGCTAAATCCTCTTTCTGTAATTGCACTCCAAATTTTCCCAGTAAGACCTACAGCATAAATAGAATTTGCAACCACTTAATAAAGTTGTAAACATGAACAAATTCAAAGACTTTACAAACATGTATCATGAAACGTAGTCTATCATTTTTCGCTGGAAATTAACTTTGGTCTATGGAACATTAGTTCGTCATTTATTTTGCAGATTGTGATATAAACATTACTGAATTGAAAAGAAACCTAGCTGTTCACCATTCAAATTGGATTCAGGTTCACGCATAATATCTAATGAATGTTTCCTTTTAATTGTGGATTATTATTTAAACTTGACACGAGTTAGCTACAATATACAATACAGTTTTTGTCATCACCAAAATGCAAAACACTTTAACAATAAGCGTTTAAAGACTGAAAATACTGACAAAGTGTGCGTTCACCATTTCAAAATTTTACATAACAATAGTTACTTGACATACTTTAGAGGTTCATGTTTTAATCATAAATATCTCGCCGTAATATTTTTGTACTTGTGTCAAGAAAACTTCAGGAACATTTGACTCCTAATTTATTATATAAATATTTTTGTAAACTCCTCTAAAACAAAGTGTCACTTCAAACATTAATTTTTCCAAGTTTTTCAATGGTGTATAAACGGATATTTAATACTATAAGCAAAAATGGATAGTGTTTAGCAGTGGAATGCAGGACGCGCGTTTTGTCCTATTTGGGACGCGTTAGCTGGATGTACCTGCATCTCCGATTTGATGTTCACTCTGGGACTCGAACCCAGTACCTTTCGCTTCAAACGCCATGGCGTTGTCCACTTAGCTACTGAGTCCCGATAGACACTTGCTTGTGCAATCGGGTGAAGCTTAATTCACTTGGTATTGTAAATTAAGGCAGTATCAAGGCGATGCGCACATATGCCAATAAGAGTCTGATCAATCGCAGTCCTAAACATCAATGGAAAGATTCAAGTAAAACAATACCAAGTGGATATTTAACACTGTTTCTTATCCTTGCCCAACAGTGGCTGTCTTCTTGTGAATGATTTAATCACTCGCAACTAACATGTAGTGATGAAGGAAAAAAGTATCTACATGATATGCACATCTAGCCTTCAGTCTTCTAGCTGCATATTACAGTGTGTTCTGCAATCTAGTTAGTTCTTAACTGACTTTTCTTTAGGGATTTACTTTTCTGTCTCCACCGTGATTTAAAATACATCAACTTTACGTAAACAAAAGAACTAAATTACCGTCAGATACTGCATGTGGTCGTATAACGCACAATGTTGTGTTATTTAGTAATGCCGCTCCATGAAAATTTGGTCCACCGGGATTTCCAAATATTTTATGGGCTAGTTTTAATGAGTCACTGATATTTGATGTGACCATGAATAAATCAGGATTGGATAAAATGTTTTCACTAGTTTCCTTTGGTCCATAAATAAATTCGTATAGGAGTGAGCAAACATTTGTACCCATTACTTCCAGAGCGATAAGGTCCTTTCCAGTTAGTTCGGTTAATAATTTACTGAATAAAGCAAACATTTTGAGAAGTGACTTCATTTGACATAAAGATCAGTAGTTGTTTAAACAGATGAGGATCTCTTTGTAACTCAAAATCAACCAATTTACTTTAATCATCGGAATCCACACGTTTATGCGCCTCACTCAACTATGTACATAATTGAAAAATTAATCAAACTGAAAAGATATGGGCCTAATGAGTGTCAAAGAACTAGAGACAACTGTACAGTAAAGATTTCATTTTAAACACTGGATGAAAGTTTTGAGTATCACTTCAACTTTACTATGCATAACCGTGTAGTATCTATGGCTATTAAACAGGACATTCATAAACTACAGACCGTATAACTGAGGTCAAGAAACTTGAGTTACTGACAAAGACATGAGGCATTTAAGCGTCTATTACCTGATTCTTATGACATCAGTACTGGGACATATTTAAACAGCAACACTGTAAATAATAATATAAACTCTAAATCATTAACACATACTGCTTGAAAGGGATAGAAGCATAGTCATGTATTAATCTATATTAAAATCCAACTTACAAGTCGAGGCACTCAAACTATATGACTGAAATGTTTATTGGATCTGGTAAAATGCTTACATCAGTTCAGTTTTCCACTAGTTTATCCAAAAACTTGTGGCTGATGATTCTAATGCTACCTTTTTATCTCTTGTCATTATAATTTTCATGCTTTAGTTTTTACAGTTAATAATTTTTCGTAATTCCGTGAACTGAAGCATCTTTAACCTGTACATAAATGTGTAAAGTCCAACTTTGTTTCAACCTCTTTGTCTGAGTAAGTTATTAGTTTATGCTATCATACAGAAATAACTTATACCATATTAACCCGTCAAAATAATACCAATGCAAAACAAAGCTCTTCAGCTAACAAGAGTTAATCTAATGGATTACATTATTAACCTAGTTTTAATGTAAAAGCTTATTTTCTATTTTGGCAGGGTAACTTTAGTTAGTGTTAGGAAGTATTTCAGTAGTTAATGCTGATGTAACTTATCTAACAATTTAAGGTTCATAAATCCATTTATTTTTTAGGGCTATCACATTAACCTTATTTCTCCGAGTTATCGCTAACAACTGACTTCATAATATTTAAACACCAATATTACAAGTGCAGTGTAGCGTCCTTGAAATAATAAAAATGTAAGCTAGTAGATAAGGGTAAGAAGTACTATCACTGTGTAAGGAAATCATAGTAATCCCAACAGAGTCAAGTGGGTAATATAATACAATGTAATGACATGTAATATTCAATATATCGCATATAATGCAACACAAAAGTTTTGCAATAGTTTTTATACCTCGGTTTTTATTTTTACGTTACTCGTGGTTTTATTGATAAAATATTTTTATACAGAGGTTAATGATTTGCTTGTAACGAAAATATGGCACTTTCAAAGTGATAGAATTCTGGTCTTACTTTCGATAGAAGGTTAATCATCGTGTATGTTTTACGATATGATGATAATGTTTTTATCATGACACATATTCTGATTTAAAAACCTGCACTACCTTTATGCAAAAATAAATGCATCTTTAAATCGTAAATTTCCATCAGATAAATTATCAGACTTACGACATGTTTGAAAGGCTCGTGTTGTTATCTAAAAGGGATTTTAATTCGTCTGATATTAACCGCACCATTTTCAGATTAATGATTCGCAGCGATTTGTCCTCCAGCATTCCTAATATTTGACCAGCTCTGAAAACAGAGGCTGGAGGGATAAAAACAACACATCTTAGCAACAAATATCGTGAAATAAAGTGAAAATTTACCTTTCTGAACGACTTAAAAATTCACGTTTAGTGGTCTCATCTCCATAGTCCACAATCTTTAGAGAGCGAGAAAGTATAGTGACTGTACTGCCTAGATAAAAGTCAGATATTTTCAGCCCTTCAATCCTAGTAGGTTTGAGAAAAAGCCTATTAGTTTTCTCTTCATGCTTCAAGAGAAATAAAGAAATTAATGACGATTACCATTTCCACAGAAGAAATCTTTGTGTGATATATCAGTTTAAATCTTTTAATCAAAGATGATATCGCATCAAACCATTCAACCAAGAAGCAGTATGATAGGTCGGTTTTACTCTGAAGATACTAATGAGTATATAAGTACTTACCATACTCTATAGTGTTTGGCCTTTGATATGTTTTTCGTTAACCTGAAAAAACTTTGCTTGCTGGGGGAGTTTAAAGAGAAGTATTCCAAGAAATCTGGAAAAACCGAAAGAGAAAGGGTTAGCCGACGACTTAGTAAAAGCATAGGATCAACTGACATTAGAAAACGAAAACCATAGACAACAATGAAAATAATTCAAGTATACAGCTAAAGCGACATGCTAGTTGAGACTAAAATGTGGTCAAACAATGTTCTCATCACGTTACTGTTCGTTTTTTTTTTTTGAATTAGTATGCCTAATCGTCTAAGTGATAACACTACTTTTAGTCAGTCAAACAATCGTGTCTGCCTTCCAATATTTAGATAACACACGACGCAGAAGTGTTACTTGTGAAATGCTTAATAATACATATACTCTTTGACAAAATACGCTATACATTTTCTACACTTGGGGACTTCCAGCGAGTTTAATTTTCTGGGACATTTCATCAAACGCCTCTAACCACTGACTGGATGTACACAAAGAGATATTCCTTAGCTTATATGGCTCAGTTCAACTGACTGTCTTGTTGTTTGAATATGATGCGACTATCTAATTCATAAGATCATACGTGTAAGTCATCACTGTGTATACCAATTCGTCCTATGTGATCATAAGCAGTACTGTGTTCAGCGCTTCCGAAGGACATATAAGAGCTGGAGACGGAAATATAGATTTGATATGAAGTGGGATGCGTTGAACAGAATGACCACGCCTGCAGACTTGAGACATGCTGTACCAATCCACTATTCTTGCGTTCATCATTGCTAAACTTCTCTCTGTGTTAAATGTTGAATGTGAATTTTCTCAGTTATATTATGTCCAGCTTCAAAGATGGTGTGGTTGGGAACCTGTACTACTACACAACTTAATCAGTCGGGATACACATGCAATGAATTCAGTTAAAAATGGTTCCACTCTACAACATTCAGCCGATGTCATCATCTAACCTGACTTGCAATCCAGTACACTTGATTTCACATGTTGTGGCTCATTGTACAGACGCCACGAGACTCTATACGGAATGTCACTTAATGCTGTCTATCAATAAATTAACCAATGTGAACTTATGTATTTCTTTCTTTTCCAGGACGGCACCAAGTGAGTCATCTGAAGTTTTTTATTTTGATGCTGACCTCATTTTTTTTCTTAACAAACGCCGTCTTTGGGAGTTCTGTATCCCGTCTATACCACAGTTTTACATGTCATTCTGTGCATTTATCATGACAAATAATCAGATTAGTCCGTAAAACTGTCGACACATTGACTATCCACTAAAAATATTTTTGAACAGCTTAATCTCTGATTACTGGTACTAATGAAATTGGAATTCTCAATCATAAGGCTATTACGGACAACAGTGATGTCAAGAACTAAGAATCCATGACATCTTCAAGTTCGTTGTAAACTTTATCTTCACTAGAAATAAAATCAACACTAATCCATAAGTCCGGCAGTCGATTTGGCTAGTAATCAGAAAGTAGAGAGAATGACCATTTTCACCATCTTTGTAAGTAGTAGTGGTCAGTATTTTTCTGCTGGCTTTATAGGGTCGCGGCAGTATTTCTTTTTCTCTTTGGATGTTCGGCAATTCGTGTGATGACCCAAATGTTTGTGTTAATGTTTTTCGGATACGTCCATTTCTCGGTTTCTATAGCTGCCACTACAACTACTAACGGTTCTACTACACAAATCAGTGATTCCGTCTGACATTCATACGTGTTTTACGCGATAAAATGTCAGTCCGTTTTGTTTTGAGTAGCTTTTGGTAAATATCGAACACCAGCAGAATGTCAACAAGGACATAATAGATTCATCTAAGACATTCCACAATCATCCATGCAAGATAACGTATCCAGCAGAAGTCTCATTTGCCCTGTTCTGGAAGTCCATCTGCAATAAATCAAAAAAAATGGTTAAGACTTACTTTGGTGTGTGACAACCCAGAGACTTCAGCTTTACTCAGTTTGAATTATAATTTCGAAAACGCTTTTGCCCTTTCATTCGTTATTACGTCCTTAAAAGCTGCTGTTTTTGACAATGCTCACATAAGTCTAACACCATTTCTTACTCAATGGGTCTACTTGTTTTCATACGGATATTTAATTCCAAACGAACGTGCCTGTCAAGCTAACACACTCGTTCTAAATTTCAGGTAATCATTAGAGACTAACCATTCATTGTACATTTTGTGTATGTTACCGGTTTACGAAAATTTCCAAATTGTTACATGTTCCACTATAAAAGAATAAAACTACTAAATCATATTTAGGGTCAGGCATTTGTTTCTAATACGTCATATGTGTTGTATTTGTAGGGTCAGAGAAATGTCTTTAAGCGCTAGCCAAATCATCTGGCAGATGGGTCACTGAATATCGAATTGATCATCGATCTCTGTCAAGGTCAAGGATGACCAAAGCGCATCAATTAGACGTTCACCATGGACTAGGCCATGCAGTAGTGGCCTTACTATGATAATTAGAAGTAATTGAATTATAGTATGAACTAAGAATCCCAGGGATAACGCAATTGAATTAAGAAGTACCACACAAGCACTAACGAATGTACTGTATTTAGAATTCGGAATCAAACATTGATCAAGTACAAAGGAGTCAATAGTTCATTCAAACACCACATCCGCCACAGATTAAATTACAGTCTAAGTGTCTGTAATCAATTGAACGTCTTCTTTTCAAGTTCATACTGTGTCTGTCCGACAATGTATTGGATAAAGACTCTGTCTTATCCACTTGATTTCTGGGATTGTGCACAATCACCATGCCGGTTGAATACTGGAACTACTACCTAGGATATGAACCATAGACATTCAGACTATCCTCCCCCACGAAATAATGTCGGATCTTCATATCCCCAAGTTATGAATAATGTGGCTTCATTTAAAACATCTTTCTCAATTTGACTAGAGTAAACATTGGAAGTGAATTTATGATAAGGACAAACAACAGTTGATATGGAATTATCTGGATTGTAATCAAACTCTAACTCATTTAATACTCGTGCTTCGCATTGAACAAGTTTCTCACAAGAAACAAATGCATCATGAGGACAAATAATATTTGATATGACATCAAGATTCGATTCTTCTAAAATAGTTTTCTCGAATTTATTAAGAATGTCATTGCAGAGTAAAGGATCGTTAGAAAAATCAGCATCTATCAAAACTACATCAGATTTTCGATCATGATTAGGTTCATCCGAAATATTCTCATCAGATTTGTAAGAAATTTCATCAGAAATATGTGAATCATTAGGAAAAATCATATCTGGTACAATAACATGAGAAATCTGATAGGTTGATTCATTAGAAATTGTTGTCTCGCAAGAATCTTGAGTTTCATTTAACTCTGAACTGATATATGACTCTAAACTGTCTTTTGAAATCGTCGATAAAGATGAATGATCATTATAAATATTCAGATTAATAGAATCAGAATCAAAAGACTTAATATTAGTTGCAGCAAGATGAACAGTAGTATTACAAACTGACTGAATATGTCCAACATCAACACATTTAAAGCACTTACAATTACGAAATTTACATCAATTAAAAGGGTGGAACTTGCCACAAGAAAAACATTGACTAAACTTGTGCCCATCTTCGTGAACTGCACAACCTTGAGTATGCTTTGGGATGGGGCGACGTAATGTAGTGGAATTTTTTATATCCTCATAAATTATTTTACGAAATCTCCCTTTACCGCATTTGAAATTTGTATACTTTGCATAGTCTAGAAGTTCCTTGAGAGTTGTATAAGGAAGAGAAAAGTGTTTTTCCGGTGAAGCCAAAATTTTTAATAAGCCATATGCTTCTTTTCCAATGAATGTGAGAAAATGTGCCACAATATTAATATCCTCATCATCTTTCTTGGTCATGCTCCAGATTTCAAACCTTTCCAAATAGTCCTCAAAATCTTCAGACGTTGAATGAATATCTAACTGTTCCATCGCAGGCTCCATCGCGACGCCAATATGATAATTAGAAGTATTTGAATTATAGTATGAACTAAGAATCCCAGAAATAACGCAATTGAATCAAGAAGTACTACACAAGCACTAACGAATATACTGTATTTAGAATTCGAAATCAAACATTCAACAAGTACAAAGGAGTCAATAGTTCATTCAAACACCACAGTGGACCATAACTCTATAGATTTTCATGAAAAGTACAAAAGTGTGTGGTGTTTTACTATTTAGCGTCACTTATTTCAGGTGAACTGGCTGCCATAATCTCCTATTTCACGGATTTCCTACGACACTTAAATTGATAAATAAATATAGGATCACAATTACGAAGTTACCATGGGATAGTTTCATCAATAAGGAATATCAGATTAGCATTTACACCTGGTTTACATTTGCAACTTTCAGATTGATAATGTTGAGCTGTTATCGTTATTATTTTTTCTCGAACTAAAGGATAGAACAGGCAATTTATAAACAGTGGAGACTTTTGTGAAGTTCATAATGAACGTTCAGCCTGCTTTTATGAACTGTGGATAAGATGCTTTTACTAAATTCTTTGGTAAATAGTTCCATAGCCATATGATTTTATCGACGAAAGGGTTATTCAGGAGTTCTCTGAGGGACCAGCCCTGCTCCATTCTACAACAGTAAAAAGCACTGGTTTTAGTCAAATGTATGGAATTATCAGCAAAAAATAAGTGACTTTTTGTATCATAAGAAAATAAATTAGTGCATGTACATATGCATGTGAAATTAGTAGACAAACAAAGGGAATGAAATGTCCTTAAGCAAAGTAGAATTTATGCAACTTTGGTTTAACATCAGCTTCATACATATTATTATAGATATTATATCAGCCCTTACGACCGGTGCAAAGCATATTATATTCAAAATACAGTATTGAACAGATGCCTTTGTTTGCTCCCAATTATGTATCCTAATGTATGATTGTGCCGTTTCACAGCGATATATACTAA